CACCGGATGTGACGTCAAATAAACACGCTGAGTGTTTTTTATTTTGGCCTGTACCGGCTCCTAGCTTGGCGCAAGTTGACGACGCGCATAGGGAGCCGGGAACCAGCTTAGCTATATTCAGTAAACAAATATTCAAAACTCTCCACAGCGCTTGGCGTATTCAATGACATTTCGTGTTAGAGATGATAGATCACTGGGAGGAGGTTATTGCACACACGATGACCCCTGACGTCACAGGGCATTGTTTCGCCGGTGTGACTGGCAACAAAATACTACAAATTACGTCATAGGGTATTGTCACGTGTTTGAAACGTTTGTGGTTTGTGGTATTCTAAAGGTAGGCCTCCAGTGTTTGCTTTTCTTCAGGATAATATTGAAACCCCCTTCTATTATAGGGTAAAGGATTCTGAGCATGATCAGAGATATGACATTAGTAAAAGTCTTGGAAACCAAGTGAAGCCTTTGGAACCCAATGTTCATGTCTGATATCCCCCAACATTACTACTGACCGCCTCCGTGGTCTTGTGGTAGAGCGTCCGCCCGGAGAGCGGAAGGTCCAGGGTTCGATCCCGGGCCGCGTCATACAAAAAGACGTTAAAAGATTGTACTTGTTGTTACCCTGTCTGGCGCTCGGCATTAAGGGGCTAAAACAAGGACTGGTCGGCTCGGAGTCAGTATACTGTGTCTGAGTGGGGTATTCATGTTAAACTGCGGCATGGTATCTCAGTGAGCTAGCACTATAAATCGGCATCAGTCCGGACTAGTACAAGCAGCCACACACACACATACACGTGCATGCACGTCGCTATATAAGTGCAATAATCTTGGACGCGACGTTAAACCCAATTTCACCTCACCAACATTACTACTGAGATTCTGGCCTGGAGTCGAATATAGATGGCCACAGGTAATTCAAGGCTGGAGATACATGCATTGTCGGTTTGTTTAAAGTGCGTTATAACAAATATGTTTCTAAAGACGCCGTGAATTCCAGCATTTATATAAAACATTTCGCAACGAAAATGTGAGGAAAGACATGTTTTCCCAACAAACACTTCTTGCGAGAAAATTGTTGAACATATATTTTAAGTACGCTTCGGGGACTATTTCATCAGAACTGTTTTCGTTCGATATCGGAACATTATCGGATGTTTTGGCGATGATTTTGACGTCCAAGACCTTAATCCTGACTGGTGTGATGATGAGATGACGAAAATTTACACATCGTTTGCATACAAATTATAACGTTATACAACTGTTGGGGACATGTCCAGTGAGTTTCTCTTTGAAACAAACGATAATAAAAGTAGAGTAAACGAAAGTGTAAAAACAACAACTTGTTTGTCGCCATCTCCATCAACCACCATTTGAGCGTGCCCTAGACCTGTGAAGATCTGGGTGGGCATAGGTCTTCAGCAACCCATGCTTGTCGTAAGAGGTGACTAATTGGATCGGGTGGTCAGACTTGCTGACTTGGTTGATTCATGTCATCGTATCCCAATTGCGTGGATCGATGCTCATGATATAAATCACCGGATGTTCTGGTCAATATTTACAGACCGTCATCATATAGCTGGAATATTGCTGAGTAAGGCGTTAAAAACGAACACAACAAACACTTTACCATGTCTAAAAAACATTCATGGAAAGCAAACATTGATTCATGTCATCGTATCCCAATTGCATGGATCGATTATCATGATGCCAATCACTGGATTGTCTGGTCCAGACTAGATTATTTACATACCGCAGCCATATAGCTGGAATATGGATGTGTGTTGCGTTAAACAAGAAACAAACAAACCATTTGAGCGTTCGCTTTCTCGGAGGTAAGGAAAGGACTTTTGGGGGATCCTTTGACAAAATGAAAAAAAACTGGTGTTGGACGTAGCGACTCAGTATTAGCCTATTTCGGAGAGAGATTTGGTGAAAATCAGAAAGAATGCGACCAATGATATAACAGTTAGCCTTCAGGAGAAGATGTGGTTTGTCCTTGCGTTAGGATTTGGTAGGTTGGGATTTGTAAGTCAACGTGACCTCACCCCAGTTGTTTCGGTGTGGAGGTCGACCACGTATGGGATGCGTGAGTTCAGCACGTGCACACACAGTGAGGTGACAAAAAACACTGCGTTGATCATGATTCAAACAAACCAGACGAAAACAAGCATATATGCGACTGGTACTTCTTCGTGTCCCGTGGCTTCATTTAAATTGCATCTGTCCAAATTACACCCAGAAAACATTGATCTGTTTCAAAGAATTCACAAACAAATCTCCCGACGACGCACACGCTCCCAAATTTACAATTATAGATATCAAATCTACAGTGAGACGACATCAAATTTCCAACACACCGATACACACCGATACACACCGATACCGATCGGTATATGGTCTCTGATTCGTTTTACTAATATTTGATACAATTACACAAAGTCGTAATGAACATATTTAGTCAACCATAGCACAGTTATATTTGAATTGCCACCAATGAAAGATTATCATCAGTAAAACCAATCATGTTAATGTGATAGGGATGTTCTTCAACGGATGTTTTAGTTAAATAACGCAGACCAACTCACCGCCTGTACGTCTAGCTCCGCTAAAGTCTGATCAGCTGGTAATGAGTGAGTTAATAATTTAAGTCCCCTTAGCTCTAGTACGAGTTAAAATCAACATACTTACTGCTAGATCACTCAACACATATAATACCAATTTGTTAATAAACGAAACCAAGTAATATGTTTTATCACTGTATGGGTGTAAATAAAACAAGTAATATGTCTTTATCAAAGTTGAATGCGTCTGACTTGATGCTTTGACCACGGCATATCTCAGACTATATATACACGTACGCTACGACTCTCCTGCTTCACCATCGGTCGTATTGCGTATATATTTCGTTAAAAGCCATGTAAAACTAAAATATTGCTCGTACTCAAATCATAATATTTTTGTTATTATCACACATCGATCATATTAAAATGTCTCAGAAATATGTGTACGTGCAAGGAGTCTGTACTAGTCTTACCATTGACACAAAATGTAAGGGCGAGCTGTGCCTCTTGTCTATCATTGTCGGCCGCGTATTCCAAAACCGATGCCAGTTTACCGATACAGGAAATAACCTCAAGCTCCTTCCCAGCGCGTGACACCTTCGTTACACTCTCAGACTATCGCTGTGAGGAGCTTGGAAATAACCCCCTTATCATCAAGCTCCTCACAGCGATAGCCCGTTCGCGAGCTCTATATACCGAGAGTGTAACGCGCTGAGAAGGAGCTAGATGCGAAAGCGTTGTGGGGAGCTTTTCTTACATCAACATTGTCACTTCGTTGATATCATTCCTGTATTTCCTCAGAACTAGAATTATTTGAGCTGTTTAGCAGTTCTGTGATTGTCCTCTTGTGGCTCTCGGTGCTTGTAAAACACAGTGAAAGGGAGTTTACAGCAATCTGTCATTAACTAAACCTGGCTATGGCACCTGTTTTGGCATCTGTTTGTCAACCAGATCCCTGAAAAAGAATAGTGAATGCAAGATACACAGGCCAAGACTACATGCCATGCACATTCCTACAGGTCAGTAGCTAAGAAAGTAGCCTATACAGTGGCTGCTGGTAACCCATATCAGAATGACAGCTTATCAAACATGATGAAATCAATTTCAGAGCACACACAATTGATAAAACACACACTCACCAATGTGTGTGTGAGGGCCGCTAATCAATGGTCACAATAATTAGCAGTCTCTCAGATAGTGTCGTGTCGCATCTAGATCTTCGTGCTCCCTATCGCTACATAGAGACCCACATCCCACTACAGATCACGTCAGCACGACTTTCATCAGACTAATCAGAGCATCGCATACGGGTTGCGAAACTGAAAGTCCAAATGGGATGCCTAATAATGCAACATCTAAAAGCATAAATGAGGTATTCCGCAGGAAAGTTACAGCTGTATGACTGGCAATGAGGTGGTGGCAGTGTTGATGGTGAACATAATTACAGATCGGGGTTGTCCTCCGTGTCCATGCGTGATGTTTGTGAATTGCTTTGCTATTCCATTTTGAGGTTTAATCATTAAGCTTTTATTTATAGTCATATGATATAGCATCAAACAAATATGGCAGGTAGGTATTCAGCATTCTATAGGTGTACGTAAAGGTTGTCAGTCCATAGGATGTGCATGTTCTTAAATTTCATGCCTGCCTAACTTATCTGGGACAGGCCGTTCCTGTCGCGGTCAGTCAACTTTTAAAGGGATATTACATCGACGTTTCTGTGTGTTTTTAAATCTGCCATTCCCATTTGTGTATTTATTCTTTGTTTACATTGGTTGTAAGGCTCTGTGATGGGCGGTCATCGTGGTCATCGAAGCCCTATGGAGATCCAAGGATACAGTCACTTTGATGTGTAAATCTGTACTGTTATGCACCTCACTGTCGCAGTTGTAGTAGCAGATCTACATAATAATGAAATCCAATATGTAATGCACACCAAAAGGCTTGCATTAGGTCTGCTGGTTCATATTTCAGAATAAGTGTGTTTGTTTACAAACAAGAGAAAAATCTGGTCACGTGATAAGCCTGCACCGACTGTGTGGTCATATGAGCAGAAACTCCTCCTGCGGAATAGGGCAATTAGAGTCAAGTTAAGGTTGAGGCTATGTTTAAAAACAAAGCTTCAGAATGGTTGACATACATAGTCCTTGTATTAATAGCCACTATGTATGTAAACATGAATGTTGTTCCCCTTGGTTTGTTTCAGTGTGTCACAATACAGTCATTTATAAAAACTGCCCAGACGACAACAGAAATGGATCCTCAAGTTAATAAACAGCAGAAGAGCTTCCAGGCTCAAAAGTACCGTAAAATAAAGAGGGTATTTGCGGGTCTGAATGGGCTGTACAACTTGAAAACCAAGGCCCTGGACTTCCTTGTCATCCTGCGTGAAAAAGATCCCAATACCTACAGGCAAATCAAGTATTCCGGTACAGGTAGGTACACACAGCTAAGGCAACAGACTGCATGCAGATCAAGTATTCCGGTACAGGTAGGTACACACAGCTAAGGCAACAGACTGCATGCAGATCAAGTATTCCGGTACAGGTAGGTACACACAGATAAGGCAACAGACTGCATGCAGATCAAGTATTCCGGTACAGGTAGGTACACACAGATAAGGCAACAGACTGCATGCAGATCAAGTATTCCGGTACAGGTAGGTACACACAGCTAAGGCAACAGACTGCATGCAGATCAAGTATTCCGGTACAGGTAGGTACACACAGCTAAGGCAACAGACTGCATGCAGATCAAGTATTCCGGTACAGGTAGGTACACACAGCTAAGGCAACAGACTGCATGCAGATCAAGTATTCCGGTACAGGTAGGTACACACAGATAAGGCAACAGACTGCATGCAGATCAAGTATTCCGGTACAGGTAGGTACACACAGCTAAGGCAACAGACTGCATGCAGATCAAGTATTCCGGTACAGGTAGGTACACACAGATAAGGCAACAGACTGCATGCAGATCAAGTATTCCGGTACAGGTAGGTACACACAGATAAGGCAACAGACTACAGGCAAATCAAGTATTCCGGTACAGGTAGGTACACACAGATAAGGCAACAGACTGCATGCAGATCAAGTATTCCGGTACAGGTAGGTACACACAGATAAGGCAACAGACTGCATGCAGATCAAGTATTCCGGTACAGGTAGGTACACACAGCTAAGGCAACAGACTGCATGCAGATCAAGTATTCCGGTACAGGTAGGTACACACAGCTAAGGCAACAGACTGCATGCAGATCAAGTATTCCGGTACAGGTAGGTACACACAGCTAAGGCAACAGACTGCATGCAGATCAAGTATTCCGGTACAGGTAGGTACACACAGATAGGAATACGAAAAGACAAGGCCATAGAATAGATTGTAACTCAGTATGACTTCAGATTTTCAGAAAAAGTACTTCCTCCTCTTAATGAAACATGAAACAGTGACATAGCAAGGTATGATGTGTTGAAAACAATTCATGCAGCAGCTTGATTAGGTTAAGGGGCATTCACACGGTACAACTAGTTGTATACAATTTGTTGCATGCAACACATTGCATCGTGTGAACGGGCAAGTCGGTCCAACTTTTGACGCATGCAACTTGTTGGACGTGAGTTGTACGGAATAGGACATGCTCTATTTTCATGCGACAAGTTGTATGAACGCAGCCAATCAAAACGCGTATGAAAATCACGTGACATTTACACGTCAATTTGTAAACAAAAATGGCGACGCCGATTCACGTCGGTAACTCCTGTTTTTCGGTATCCTAAGTGTCACCACTCAATAAAGGACCTATGAAAAGTAGGTACGTAGAATACCACTGTACCAAATTATATATTTTGACATTTGCATCGGTCTAGTTCTCCTGGTTAAACTGTTCATGGTGTTATTTGAAACGACAGGCTATGTGACTGTACACTGTAGTGTAGACCAATTGCAAGATGAGATTAGGTCCATAATACGTTTCTAAAACTTAAAATACATCATACACACAAATACACGTCACAGTTTTAGATTCTGTGGGAAAGTATCTATAATATGATGACATTAACAACTATTTTAGCCCAAGCATATGTATCACTAACGACATCTGAAAATAGTGTACAACGAAAAAAATGCCATTTTAGCATTTTACCAATTCACTGTTCCAAATGTGATTAGGATTATTTATTCAAATAACGTATAGCTACATGCGAAGTTTAATTACAAAACCATTGGGTGTCTGCTCTTTGTCAAAACACCAATCATCATTCCGAAAAGACTCCCATAGTGACCCATATATTCGTTTTCGAAACATACAAACTCTGGACCGAACCTCAACGTTGGATAGCGTTGCAAAATCACGGTTCTTTTCGCGTCAGGCGAGATACCTGTCACATCACATGTATTTCACACTCAGCTACGATACATACATTCCTGAATTCATCACACCATTAGGCCTAACAATCAATTGAGATTTTGTCTAAGTCACTAATACAAACGGTCCAAATGAAATCAACCGCAATATTCAAGTGTGAAACCAAACCCTGTGCTCTGAAACCTACCAGTGGGCCTTCTCATTTAAAATGTAAACAAAGCAAACTTCTAGTTTTGCTTAACATTTTCTACTATTCCGAGAGATTCGGTCGTCAATTTGTTGCATACATTAGCTCAGATTATTACGAATATGCATGGGTCGATAATCGTTGCAAGAATTGAGGAATTGATAATTAGAGTCCAGATACTTATTTGGAAAAGTCAACAGAAATCGTTCAACGTGCCGCCATGATTGACGCAAAATCACGCACACCGACAACGGTATTGGTCTGCCTTTCCACGTAGTGTCAAGGCGAGAATGGAAACGTAATAACTAATAGAACTAAATTGATTTCAGATTGATTCTGATTACTTAACTTACATGACTCATTTATGTATAGATCCCAGCATCACGGTAAAACCTACTCCAAACATTCCGGAACTGCTATCACTGAACTCGCTATGTTATGACGGGAGGTTACCGGTAGTGATGTCATATTAGTATACGTCAGCATCAACATCGTTGTACAAATTTGTTATTTTCTTCGAGGTGCGGGTGAACTAGTACACAACTCATTCAGTTCATGAAGTAGTTTACTGTTTCAATCTTGAATTATAATTTGAATATCTCTTCAAAATCGTTTCACCCAGTAAAATAATGTACTGCTGCAAAATGGGTACATGTATGCAGTACTGTTACTTATATAATCTAACATGCCATAGAATTTATGAAACTCATAATAATCAGCTGAAGAAATTGACATTCATCGTGTTATTCTTCCCATAAGATGCTATGTGAACACACTGCAACATATACATATTTCCTTTGGAGAATTGTGAAATATGCATTGTGGCAAATTTATATAGATAGGTTAAATAAAACATGCACTTCATTTCTTAAATTAAAGTAAATGTATACCTGAAGGAAATTCGTCACGTTATATTTTTATTAATGTATAACTCATGTTTGGACAACTACTTGACTTACATTTGAATTTTATCGTTTAATTGGCGGAACATTGACAGCTAAAGATTGCATCAGGTGCGCGCTTCAAAATAGGGGCCGACCATTTGAGATTCCAGGGTGGAGGTGGGTCATGGTCTGTTGGGGTTTGGGTGTGCGTTGCCCAATAAAGCCCAACATTCTGTTCTTTTAATCGAAATTTTCTATACTATAACCGAATATGAGTGGTAATATACTGTTACTTTTTTGTGTTACCGATTTCAACGTTTCTTATAAATTCGGAAATAAGCTAAAAGTATCTGGTTTCAACTGGCCAAAGGGAACTTTCAGGATTTATATAGTTCATTCTTCTATATTATAACAAAATCTGAAATATGTCTTCAGGACATTTTGGATGACAATCATTCAATGTCCCAGAAAAGGAACCGATGCGGTTATTAAAATCGATAGCTGTGTGAGAACTTTGTAGATACACATAAACAAAAAGATACTAGAATGTATTGTCCTGAGCCAAAGCAGATGCTCACCACAGACATGCATGACGGAAACTGGGTATTGCTATGACTAGGTTAAGAATTGGGGAGTTATGCCCCTTTTTGTCTTTGTACATGTGGACATTGCCCTCGTGTTTTGACGTCATGTAACGGAAAATTTGTTTTCGCCACATAAAACAAGTACGTTTTCGTATCGAATGTGTCACGTTATACATTTAATTTTCCATCATGGGGTTAAAAATTCAATAATATACAAGTACGTTAAATTGCAAAGTCAGAGGTTGGTCCAGTACCGCGCGACCGCAATTCTCGCACAGCGTTGATTTTTCAAAGCGATGCGTCTGAACATTAACTCGGCAACCAAGATTCCAGCGATAATGTAGTGAATCACAAGTTTTTTGTCAGAGATCTCGCGAGACCCGAGTTGTATGCAACTCGCCGCCGTGTGAATGCCCAGTTGTATACAACTTCAGTTCGTGCAACTAATTGCATACAACTAGTTGTACCATGTGAATGCCCCTTTAGTGACAGCTGCATGGTGTACAAGAACATATCCCCATGTCCGTGTGTGTGTCTTGTTCAGGGGAACTCCTGGAGAGGTTTGAACAAGGTCTTCCCATCTTCACGGAGAAGACGGCCAAGAGGATGCACCACTTCCCAGCCAATGACAGCGAGATGGATAAGGCCATTAAGATGTTCCGGCCCGGCAAGGACAGCCGTCTCCAGTCTATCTGTGTGTGCAACATGAAGGGCAAGCTGATCCAAAAGGAGCCCCTGTCCACTGGAGTTGCTGGCAAGAAGTCCATGTATGTCTTGGCAAACTATGTACGCACACATCTTTCCTCGGGGTGTCGGCCAATACATCTAGTTTCATTGTAGGACCTGAAACTAGTGTTTTGGCTGAAACTCGAGGAAAATCAGTATAAATGACTTCAACCCAGCTACGGGCCTGTAAACATTTATTTTATATTTATGTGACTCCTTATATCATTTTATCAGGGGTGGTGGGGTAGCCTAGTGGTTAAAGCGTTCACTCATCACACTGAAAACCCGGGTCCGATTTTCCACATGGGTACAATGTGTGAAGCCCATTTCTGGTGTTCCCTGCTGTGATATTGCTGGAATATTGCTGAACTTGGTGTAAACATGGTAAAAAAACACACTCAATGACTCACTCATTTATCAATTCTTTCTTCCAGGAAATTCAGATGAATTGGCAAATTTTCAGATTATTGAATCTAGACATTGTTCTGTATTTGGGAGCATTTGCATCTGGGGTAAAACTTCATCTCACAGTCAGTCCAAGTTTTCTTCCCACTCATGAATGTATTTTGAGTGATAGGCCATCATAGGGTCAGGACTAAAAGCCTCTCCCGGGATAGTGGAAGTAGCTGCGCCATGAGGATTGTACAGATGAAACATCTTTGTCGAACTATGTGTAATAAGTAAGAAAAACGAACAACTTTATGGATAACAACTTCTTGTTTATTTTTTTCTATATGCAACAAACCAGAAATTGTTATCCATAAAAATGAACGTTTTTCTTACTTATTTTGCCAACTTCAAAAGTTAATGTGTACTAATCTGACTTTTGAGTGTTGTATAAGTTGTTGTCTACTTCTGTAATCTACTTTTGTAAATCATACATAGATTCTTTCCTCCAATTTCAGACCTTGTGGCAAGAAACAAGAGAAGCAAACATTCTTATCCAGCGGTATGAATTTTTATCCAGTTCATTCTGTGTATTGTCTATAGTTATTAGTGTTAGAATATCAACAGTTATAAAGAGCTGACAAGAAAATACAGACAGTTTATCTGTTCATCAAAGAATGCATCACGCCCCATCATGGAATGTTTTTATTTTATATGGCATCAATAAATGGCATATTTAAAAAAAAAATGAATGCTAATTGTGTTTAGAATGCAGGATGTTTGTTGTTCTCACAGCACCATGTAGACAGATGTACTTGCCCTTGTTCTCACAGCACCATGTAGACAAATGTACTTGTTCTCACAGCACCATGTAGACAGATGTACTTGTTCTCACAGCACCATGTAGACAGATGTACAAGCCCTTGCTCTCACAGCACCATGTAGACAGATGTACTTGTTCTCACAGCACCATGTAGACAGATGTACTTGTTCTCACAGCACCATGTAGACAGATGTACTTGCCCTTGTTCTCACAGCACCATGTAGACAGATGTACTTGTTGTCACAGCACCATGTAGACAGATGTACTTGTTCTCACAGCACCATGTAGACAGATGTACTTGTTCTCACAGCACCATGTAGACAGATGTACTTGCCCCTGTTCTCACAGCACCATGTAGACAGATGTACTTGTTCTTACAGAACCATGTAGACAGATGTACTTGTTCTCACAGCACCATGTAGACAGATGTACTTGCCCTTGTTCTCACAGCACCATGTAGACAGATGTACTTGTTCTCACAGCACCATGTAGACAGATGTACTTGTTCTCACAGCACCATGTAGACAGATGTACTTGTTCTCACAGCGCCATGTAGACAGATGTACTTGTTCTCACAGCACCATGTAGACAGATGTACTTGTTCTCACAGCACCTTGTAGACAGATGTACTTGTTCTCACAGCACCATGAAGACAGATGTACTTGTTCTCAAAGCACCATGTAGACAGATGTACTTGTTCTCACAGCACCATGTAGACAGATGTACTTGTTCTCACAGCACCATGTAGACAGATGTACTTGTTCTCACAGCACCGTGTAGACAGATGTACTTATTCTGACAGCACCATGTAGACAGATGTACTTGCCCCTGTTCTCACAGCACCATGTAGACAGATGTACTTGCCCCTGTTCTCACAGCACCATGTAGACAGATGTACTTGTTCTCACAGCACCATGTAGACAGATGTACTTGCCCCTGTTCTCACAGCACCATGTAGACAGATGTACTTGTTCTCACAGCACCATGTAGGCAGATGTACTTGTTCTCACAGCACCATGTAGACAGATGTACTTGCCCTTGTTCTCACAGCACCATGTAGACAGATGTACTTGTTCTCACAGCACCATGTAGACAGATGTACTTGTTCTCACAGCACCATGTAGACAGATGTACTTGTTCTCACAGCGCCATGTAGACAGATGTACTTGTTCTCACAGCACCATGTAGACAGATGTACTTGTTCTCACAGCACCTTGTAGACAGATGTACTTGTTCTCACAGCACCATGAAGACAGATGTACTTGTTCTCAAAGCACCATGTAGACAGATGTACTTGTTCTCACAGCACCATGTAGACAGATGTACTTGTTCTCACAGCACCATGTAGACAGATGTACTTGTTCTCACAGCACCGTGTAGACAGATGTACTTATTCTGACAGCACCATGTAGACAGATGTACTTGCCCCTGTTCTCACAGCACCATGTAGACAGATGTACTTGCCCCTGTTCTCACAGCACCATGTAGACAGATGTACTTGTTCTCACAGCACCATGTAGACAGATGTACTTGCCCCTGTTCTCACAGCACCATGTAGACAGATGTACTTGTTCTCACAGCACCATGTAGGCAGATGTACTTGTTCTCACAGCACCATGTAGACAGATGTACTTGCCCTTGTTCTCACAGCACCATGTAGACAGATGTACCTGCCCCTGTTCTCACAGCACCATGTAGACAGATGTACTTGTTCTCACAGCACCATGTAGACAGATGTACTTGCCCCTGTTCTCACAGCACCATGTAGACAGATGTACTTGTTCTCACAGCACCATGTAGGCAGATGTACTTGTTCTCACAGAACCATGTAGACAGATGTACTTGCCCTTGTTCTCACAGCACCATGTAGACAGATGTACTTGCCCCTGTTCTCACAGCACCATGTAGACAGATGTACTTGCCCCTGTTCTCACAGCACCATGAAGACAGATGTACTTGTTCTCACAATACCATGTAGACAGATGTACTTGCCCCTGTTCTCACAGCACCATGTAGACAGATGTACTTGCCCTTGTTCTCACAGCACCATGTAGAGAGATGTACTTGCCCTTGTTCTCACAGCACCATGTAGACAGATGTACCTGCCCCTGTTCTCACAGCACCATGTAGACAGATGTACTTGTTTTCACAGCACCATGTAGGCAGATGTACTTGTTCTCACAGCACCATGTAGACAGATGTACTTGTTCTCACAGCACCATGTAGACAGATGTACTTGTTCTCACAGCACCATGTAGACAGATGTACTTGTTCTCACAGCACCATGTAGACAGACGTACTTGCCCCTGTTCTCACAACACCATGTAGACAGATGTACTTGTTCTCACAGCACCATGTAGACAGATGTACTTGTTCTCACAGCACCATGTAGACAGATGTACTTGTTCTCACAGCACCATGTAGACAGACGTACTTGCCCCTGTTCTCACAACACCATGTAGGCAGACGTACTTGCCCCTGTTCTCACAACACCATGTAGACAGATGTACTTGCCCCTGTTCTCACAACACCATGTAGACAGACGTACTTGTTCTCACAACACCATGTAGACAGATGTACTTGTTCTCACAGCACCATGTAGACAGATGTACTTGTTCTCACAGCACCATGTAGGCAGATGTACTTGCCCTTGTTGTCTCTGGAAGGTGTTTCTAGGAGCAACTGACTACATATATTTACAATTCATTTCATTAATTATTATTCAGAAAGTTAACAGCTGTTTTATTTTGTTCCATATTGTTGTATCTTTTTGTTTTCTGATGACTGAGAGAGCAGTCAGGCAAGTAGATATACATGTAGACCAGATTTAGATTGTTTTCTGTTTGATCGAATCTGTAAACAAACCACAAACCTGTCACGTGCGTTTACTCCTGTCACTACATGGAATGATGTGAACATTGTGAAAGGTTGGTGCATTCGACTTTCCAAGTTTGTAAGGTAGCACTGACATGCGATAGGGGAGGTAATTCTTTTGTGTCAGTCTTTTAAAATTGGAACATTTTCTTGAAGGGTACCGGTACAAGTTGCGTGTGTGTGAAGCGTGAGATCTGTGTAACATGCTTGTCTTCTCAGCTGTTCCCAGTCCCAAGAAAGCGAAGCATGGTTCTAAGTGGCAGTGGAGGAAGGCAATTGACTCCGACGTGGAGGAAGACTCGGACTTCTCGCTCAACTCAGATGAAGATGTTGATGATGATCACGACAGTGATGGATGGCAACATATGTAAGTTCACATTGCATTGTGTCAAGAATGTGCTCTGTGTTCTAGTTGACGTTCAGCCTGTAACCCTTGTATGTCCTGCCTGCTGGGGAAGGGGCACAGACTACCGGGTGTCTTAACCACCTGGCGGGACACCAGCAGGATCCAGGATTATCTTAGTATTTCATAATTGTACTACCCATGTATCTCGTCAAATTTGCTAGTGGACTTGTGTCCTGTTACCTTGTGGACATTAAGTTTGGAGTCCTGTTACCGTGTGTGAGTTTTGAGTGAAGTCCTGTTACCATGTTGGAATTTGGAGTGGAGTCCTGTTACCATGTGTGAATTTGGAGTGGTGTCCTGTAACTGTGTAGGAGTTTGGAGTGGAGTCCTGTTACCATGTGGGAGTTTGGAGTGGAGTCCTGTTTCTGTGTGGGAGCCTGGAGTGGTGTCCTGTTACCATGTGTGAATTTGGAGTGGAGTCCTGTTACCATGTGGGAGTTTGGAGGGGAGTCCTGTTTCTGTGTGGGAGTTTGGAGGGGAGTCCTGTTTCTGTGTGGGAGTTTGGAGTGGTGTCCTGTTACTGTGTGGGAGTTTGGAGCGGTGTCCTGTTACTGTGTGGGAGTTTGGAGTGGTGTCCTGTTTCTGTGTGGGAGCTTGGAGTGGTGTCCTGTTTCTGTGAGGGAGTTTGGAGTGGTGTCCTGTTTCTGTGTTGGAGTTTGGAGTGGTGTCCTGTTTGTGTGTGGGAGTTTGGAGTGGAGTCCTGTTACCATGTGGGAGTTTGGAGTGGTGTCCTGTTTCTGGTTGGGAGTTTGGAGTGGAGTCATGTTGCCGTGTGGGAGCTTTGAGTGGTGTCCTGTTTCTGGTTGGGAGTTTTGAGTGGTGTCCTGTTACCATGTGTGAATTTTGAGTGGTGTCCTGTTTCCTAGTGGGAGTTTGGAGTGGTGTTCTGTTTCTGTGTGGGAGTTTTGAGTGGTGTCCTGTTACCATGTGTGAATTTGGAGGGGTGTCATGTTACCGTGTGTGAATTTGGAGTGGTGTCCTGTTACTATGTGTGAATTTTGAGTGGTGTCCTGTTTCCTAGTGGGAGTTTGGAGTGGAGTCCTGTTACCATGTGTGAATTTTGAGTGGTGTCCTGTTTCCTAGTGGGAGTTTGGAGTGGTGTCCTGTTTCTGTGTGGGAGCTTGGAGTGGTATCCTGTGTCTGTGTAGCAGTTTGGAGTGGTGTCCTGTTTCTAGTTGGGAGTTTGGAGTGGTGTCCTGTTTCTGTGTGGGAGCTTGGAGTGGTGTCCTGTTTCTGGTTGGGAGTTTGGAGTGGAGTCATGTTACCGTGTGGGAGCTTGGAGTGGTGTCCTGTTTCCTAGTGGGAGTTTGGAGGTGTGTCCTGTTTCTGTGTGGGAGTTTGAAGGGATGTCGTGTGACTGTGTGGCATATATCTTGTTGTGAAAGGCTGTGAATGTGACGCATGTTGCCATTCTACACAAACAGTAGATTGAAATTGGATAATAAATTAGGACTTGGCCATTCAAAAAAGATATACAGGGAGATATTTACTACAATGAAAAAGGCTACAAATTGAGCTGATTGGCCAAACCACCATTCTGCTGAAGTGAACAGTGATAAGAATGAGGTGTATTTAGTGAGACTGACGTAGATGAAATGACAGGCAGCTGTCTCGCACTCGCCAAGTACACTTGTCTTCATGTCAAAGGCTGCTATTGTCAGCACTGACATGTTGCTCCTGCTCAATGTCACCTGAACAAGGTACATGTATACACTTGTCTTCATGTCAAAGTGTCACCTGAACAAGGTACATGTATACACTTGTCTTCATGTCAAAGTGTCACCTGAATAAGGTACATGTATACACTTGTCTTCATGTCAAAGTGTCACCTGAACAAGGTACATGTATACACTTGTCTTCATGTCAAAGTGTCACCTGAACAAGGTACATGTATACACTTGTCTTCATGTCAAAGTGTCACCTGAACAAGGTACATGTATACACTTGTCTTCATGTCAAAGTGTCACCTGAACAAGGTACATGTATACACTTGTCTTCATGTCAAAGTGTCACCTGAACAAGGTACATGTATACACTTGTGCTGTGTATCTTCTCCTGAGTTGTAGAATATATGTTCTATACTCTCCCAAACACCAGCTGTTACATGCAATCATATAAATATATCTATACTGAAAACTAATAATAGTTCTCACAATATGGACTATATGCCTTTCCAGATTGATAAAGAAAGTTAAATGCGTACACCTCAAACTACGTCAACACAAAGAAAAAGTAGCTTGAGAAGTGGGATAAAAAAAGAATTTTACACCTCAAATGGGGAAATTAAATAATTTGGCATCAATAATCAGAATAATCAGAATTGCTAGGCTGAATTTGAATTTTAACATCAAAGTAGGATTACTTACATCACCTTTCTATCACCCAAATAGACACTTGTTGCCTACATATTTACCCTGTACATTCCCACCATCAGTACTATCTTACAAGAGACATATGTCGATAAAGACACAATAAATTATAACATTCGCACAAGCTATGAATGATACCATCCTGTGACATGATGATCACCCGACAGTATACATCAATCTATTTTTCACTCTATTTTATGACTACAGTATGTTTGAATTTAAATTTTAAGAAAATCTTTAGAAAGTGCATGGGGCCCCATCTTCATCTAAATTAAACACTCTATGCTTCTATAAAATCACAATGTAATAAATAATAATGAATGGTACCTTTTATTTGTTTTTTGTGCATATCACCAGAGAGGTGTAGGGTATAGGAATGACTGGTGCTGGTGTTGTGTGTTTCAGGTTTACTGATGATGATGATGCAGCTCCCAATGCATTGTAAGTAACATTTCAGTGTGACATGGATAGTACACAGATTCATATACACTTCTTAACAAGGAGTATTTTTATGGATAACAATTTCAGAGATTTTTCTCAAGAAATAATTAAGCACCTGTTTTACTCTGTAGGAAAAAAGTGATGTGCCCTTTTTAGATAGTTGCTACCTACCCTTTGGCATCTGCTGACATCCTGTACACAAGACAGACTAATTTAAAGTGCAGTGTGTTATTTTTTTTTTTTTAAATATATTTGAGTACCTGTTTGTGTTGAAAAAATTGATTGAGCTCCAAAAACATTAACAAACAAAATGTTGATAGCAAACCAAAGGGTTCTACTTTAGCTTTACCGATGCCATCACTTGGGGGCAGCCAGCCTAAGGACCACACCCCACAGGTTCAGGAGGCATGGGCTACATAGGTCAACCCAAGGGGGACGTCAATCAATATCGTGGTTATATCTTGGTCAACATGGGTTCACTTGGGTCATCTAGGGTGTTTAAGTCAAACGTAGGCATTGTTTACAGTTATGTCAGTTGAATACATTTAAATGGGTTTGTGTGGTAATGGTATTGAATCCAGTGTGGTGTTTGTTGGAGTTATCTCCCTTTGATCAGATACGGACATTGGGAGCAACTGGTTTGTAACTATGTTTGAAATATCATATATATATAGCTTTGACTCTATCATGAAATTTATTAGCAGTTGTCATATAGCTTCAAAAGGATTGGGGTTACCTCAATTACAGTTTGTGTAAGATGTTTTATTATGAAACCTACCTTAGATAAGTTATCACAGAAACATTGTTAGCCTGTTTTACCTGTTATTAATTCTATTGTTTCTGAAATGGATGATCATATGGATGTACACCAACATACCACTCCTAGTCCTACACATGTTGTGAATACTGTGGTATTCGGGTGGCCCAGTCTTCTGAGGTGCCGCAATTCACTGTGAAGAGTTTTCTCCCTTAAGGGGTCAGTGTAGTGACTCTATAACCTCCAGCAAGGCCTGTGTAGTGACTCTATAACCTCCAGCAAGGTCAGTGTAGTGACTCTATAACCTCCAGCAAGGTCAGTGTAGTGACTCTATAACCTCCAGCAAGGTCTGTGTGGTGACTCTATAACCTCCAGCAAGGTCTGTGTAGTGACTCTATCACCTCCAGCAAGGTCTGTGTAGTGACTCTATAACCTCCAGCAAGGCCTGTATAGTGACTCTATAACCTCCAGCAAGGTCTCTGTAGTGACTCTATAACCTCCAGCAAGGTCTGTGTAGTAACTCTATAACCTCCAGCAAGGTCTGTGTAGTGACTCTATAACCTCCAGCAAGGACTGTGTAGTGACTCTATAACTTCCAGCAAGGTCTGTGTAGTGACTCTATAACCTCCAGCAAGGTCTGTGTAGTAACTCTATAACCTCCAGCAAGGTCTGTGTAGTGACTCTATAACCTCCAGCAAGGACTGTGTAGTGACTCTATAACCTCCAGCAAGGCCTGTGTAGTGACGCTATGACCTCCAGCAAGGTCTGTGTAGTGACTCTATAACCTCCAGCAAGGACTGTGTAGTGACTCTATAACCTCCAGCAAGGTCTGTGTAGTGACGCTATGACCTCCAGCAAGGTCTGTGTAGTGACTCTATAACCTCCAGCAAGGACTGTATAGTGACTCTATAACCTCCAGCAAGGTCTGTGTACTGACTCTATAACCTCCAGCGAGGCCTGTGTAGTGACGCTATGACCTCCAGCAAGGACTGTGTTGTGACTCTATACCCTCCAGCATGGTCTGTGTAGTGACGCTATAACCTCCAGCAAGGCCTGTGTAGTGACGCTATGACCTCCAGCAAGGTCTGTGAAGTAACTCTATACCCTCCAGCAAGGTCTGTGTAGTGACTCTATAACCTCAGGCAAGGCCTGTGTAGTGACGCTATGACCTCCAGCAAGGTCTGTGTAGTGACTCTATACCCTCCAGCAAGGTCTGTGTAGTGACTCTATACCCTCCAGCATGGTCTGTGTAGTGACACTATAACCTCCAGCAGGGTCTGTGTAGTGACTCTATACCCTCCATCAAGGTCTGTTTAGCAACTCTATACCCTCAAGCAAGGACTGTGTAGTGACTCTATAACCTCCAGCAAGGACTGTGTAGTGACTCTATACCCTCCAGCAAGGCCTGTGTAGTGACTCTATAACCTCCAGCAAGGTCTGTGTAGTGACTCTATAACCTCCAGCAAGGCCTGTATAGTGACTCTATAACCTCCAGCAAGGCCTGTATAGTGACTCTATAACCTCCAGCAAGGTCTGTGTAGTGACTCTATAACCTCCAGCAAGGTCTGTGTAGTAACTCTATAACCTCCAGCAAGGTCTGTGTAGTGACTCTATAACCTCCAGCAAGGACTGTGTAGTGACTCTATAACTTCCAGCAAGGTCTGTGTAGTGACCCTATAACCTCCAGCAAGGTCTGTGTAGTAACTCTATAACCTCCAGCAAGGTCTGTGTAGTGACTCTATAACCTCCAGCAAGGACTGTGTAGTGACTCTATAACCTCCAGCAAGGTCTGTGTAGTGACTCTATAACCTCCAGCAAGGTCTGTGTAGTAACTCTATAACCTCCAGGAAGGTCTGTGTAGTGACTCTATAACCTCCAGCAAGGACTGTGTAGTGACTCTATAACTTCCAGCAAGGTCTGTGTAGTGACTCTATAACCTCCAGCAAGGTGTGTGTGACTCTATAACCTCCAGCAAGGCCTGTGTAGTGACGCTATGACCTCCAGCAAGGTCTGTGTAATGACTCTGTAACCTCCAGCAAGGACTGTGTAGTGACTCTATAACCTCCAGCAAGGTCTGTGTAGTGACTCTATAACCTCCAGCAAGGTGTGTGTGACTCTATAACCTCCAGCAAGGCCTGTGTAGTGACGCTATGACCTCCAGCAAGGTCTGTGTAGTGACTCTATAACCTCCATCAAGGTCTGTGTAGTGACTCTATAACCTCCAGCAAGGTCTGTGTAATGACTCTATAACCTCCAGCAAGGACTGTGTAGTGACTCTATAACTTCCAGCAAGGTCTGTGTAGTGACTCTATAACCTCCAGCAAGGTCTGTGTAGTAACTCTATAACCTCCAGCAAGGTCTGTGTAGTGACTCTATATATACCTCCAGCAAGGACTGTGTAGTGACTCTATAACCTCCAGCAAGGTCTGTGTAGTGACTCTATAACCTCCAGCAAGGTCTGTGTAGTAACTCTATAACCTCCAGGAAGGTCTGTGTAGTGACTCTATAACCTCCAGCAAGGACTGTGTAGTGACTCTATAACTTCCAGCAAGGTCTGTGTAGTGACTCTATAACCTCCAGCAAGGTGTGTGTGACTCTATAACCTCCAGCAAGGCCTGTGTAGTGACGCTATGACCTCCAGCAAGGTCTGTGTAATGACTCTATAACCGCCAGCAAGGACTGTGTAGTGACTCTATAACCTCCAGCAAGGTGTGTGTGACTCTATAACCTCCAGCAAGGCCTGTGTAGTGACGCTATGACCTCCAGCAAGGTCTGTGTAGTGACTCTATAACCTCCATCAAGGTCTGTGTAGTGACTCTATAACCTCCAGCAAGGTCTGTGTAGTGACTCTATAACCTCCAGCAAGGTCTGTGTAGTGACGCTATGACCTCCAGCAAGGCCTGTGTAGTGACGCTATGACCTCCAGCAAGGTCTTTGTAGTGACTCTATAACCACCAGCAAGGCCTGTGTAGTGACGCTATGACCTCCAGCAAGGACTGTGTAGTGACTCTATAACTTCCAGCAAGGTCTGTGTAGTGACTCTATAACCTCCAGCAAGGTGTGTGTGACTCTATAACCTCCAGCAAGGCCTGTGTAGTGACGCTATGACCTCCAGCAAGGTCTGTGTAATGACTCTATAACCGCCAGCAAGGACTGTGTAGTGACTCTATAACCTCCAGCAAGGTGTGTGTGACTCTATAACCTCCAGCAAGGCCTGTGTAGTGACGCTATGACCTCCAGCAAGGTCTGTGTAGTGACTCTATAACCTCCATCAAGGTCTGTGTAGTGACTCTATAACCTCCAGCAAGGTCTGTGTAGTGACTCTATAACCTCCAGCAAGGTCTGTGTAGTGACGCTATGACCTCCAGCAAGGCCTGTGTAGTGACGCTATGACCTCCAGCAAGGTCTTTGTAGTGACTCTATAACCACCAGCAAGGCCTGTGTAGTGACGCTATGACCTCCAGCAAGGTCTGTGTAGAGACTCTATAACCTCCAGCAAGGCCTGTGTAGTGACGCTATGACCTCCAGCAAGGACTGTGTAGTGACTCTATACCCTCCAGCATGGTCTGTGTAGTGACGCTATAACCTCCAGCAAGGCCTGTGTAGTGACGCTATGACCTCCAGCAAGGTCTGTGAAGTAACTCTATACCCTCCAGCAAGGTCTGTGTAGTGACTCTATAACCTCAGGCAAGGCCTGTGTAGTGACGCTATGACCTCCAGCAAGGACTGTGTAGTGATTCTATACCCTCCAGCAAGGTCTGTGTAGTGACTCTATACCCTCCAACATGGTCTGTGTAGTGACACTATAACCTCCAGCAAGGTCTGTGTAGTGACTCTATACCCTCCATCAAGGTCTGTTTAGCAACTCTATACCCCCAAGCAAGGACTGTGTAGTGACTCTATAACCTCCAGCAAGTTCTGTGTAGTGACTCTTTACCCTCCAGCAAGGTCTGTGTAGTGACTCTATACCCTCCAGCATGGTCTGTGTAGTGACACTATAACCTCCAGCAAGGTCTGTGTAGTGACTCTATACCCTCCATCAAGGTCTGTTTAGCGACTCTATACCCTCAAGCAAGGACTGTGTAGTGACTCTATAACCTCCAGCAAGGTCTGTGGAGTGACTCTATAACCTCCAGCAAGGTCTGTGTAGTGACTCTATTACCTCCAGCAAGGTTTGTGTAGTGACTCTATAACCTCCATCAAGGTCTGTGTAGTGACTCTTTAACCTCCAGCAAGGTCTGTGTAGTGACTCTATAACCTCCAGCAAGGTCTGTGTAGTGACTCTATAACCTCCAGCAAGGCCTGTGTAGTGACGCTATGACCTCCAGCAAGGTCTGTGTAGTGACTCTATAACCTCCAGCAAGGACTGTGTAGTGACTCTATAACCTCCAGCAAGGTGTGTGTGACTCTATAACCTCCAGCAAGGCCTGTGTAGTGATGCTATGACCTCCATCAAGGTCTGTGTAGTGACTCTATAACCTCCAGCAAGGCCTGTGTAGTGACGCTATGACCTCCAGCAAGGACTGTGTTGTGACTCTATACCCTCCAGCATGGTCTGTGTAGTGACGCTATAACCTCCAGCAAGGCCTGTGTAGTGACGCTATGACCTCCAGCAAGGTCTGTGAAGTAACTCTATACCCTCCAGCAAGGTCTGTGTAGTGACTCTATAACCTCAGGCAAGGCCTGTGTAGTGACGCTATGACCTCCAGCAAGGTCTGTGTAGTGACTCTATACCCTCCAGCAAGGACTGTGTAGTGACGCTATGACCTCCAGCAAGGTCTGTGTAGTGACTCTATACCCTCCAGCAAGGTGTGTGTGACTCTATAACCTCCAGCAAGGTCTGTGAAGTAACTCTATACCCTCCAGCAAGGTCTGTGTAGTGACTCTATAACCTCAGGCAAGGCCTGTGTAGTGACGCTATGACCTCCAGCAAGGTCTGTGTAGTGACTCTATACCCTCCAGCAAGGTCTGTGTAGTGAGGCTATGACCTCCAGCAAGGTCTGTGTAGTGACACTATAACCTCCAGCAAGGTCTGTTTAGTGACGCTATGACCTCCAGCAAGGTCTATGTAGTGATGCTATAACCTCCATCAAGGTCTTTGTAGTGACTCTATAACCTCCAGCAAGGCCTGTAGTGACGCTATCACCTCCAGCAAGGTCTGTGTATTGACTCTATAACCTCCAGCAAGGTCTGTGTAGTGATTCTATAACCTCCAGCAAGGTCTGTGTAGTGACTCTATAACCTCCAGCAAGGTCTGTGTAGTGACTCTATCACCTCCAGCAAGGACTGTGTAGTGACTCTATACCATCCAATAAGGCCTGTGTAGTGATGCTATCACCTCCAGCAAGGTCTGTGTAGTGACTCTATAACCTCCAGCAAGGACTGTGTAGTGACTCTATAACCTCCAGCAAGGTCTGTGTACTGACTCTATAACCTCTAGCAAGGTCTGTGTAGTGACTCTATAACCTCCAGCAAGGTCTTTGTAGTGAGGCTATGACCTCCAGCAAGGTCTGTGTAGTGACACTATAACCTCCAGCAAGGTCTGTTTAGTGACGCTATGACCTCCAGCAAGGTCTTTGTAGTGACTCTATAACCTCCAACAAGGTCTGTGTAGTGACTCTGTAACCTCCAGCAAGGTCTGTGTAGTGACTCTATAACCTCCAGCAAGGTCTGTGTAGTGACTCTATAACCTCCAGCAAGGCCTGTGTAGTGACGCTATGACCTCCAACAAGGTCTGTGTAGTGATGCTATACCCTCCAGCAAGGTCTGTGTAGTGACGCTATGACCTCCAATAAGGTCTATGTAGTGACGCTATAACCTCCATCAAGGTCTTTGTAGTGATGCTTTAACCTCCAATAAGGTCTATGTAGTGATGCTATAACCTCCATCAAGGTCTTTGTAGTGACTCTATAACCTCCAGCAAGGCCTGTAGTGACGCTATCACCTCCAGCAAGGTCTGTGTATTGACTCTATAACCTCCAGCAAGGTCTGTGTAGTGATTCTATAACCTCCAGCAAGGTCTGTGTAGTGACTCTATAACCTCCAGCAAGGTCTGTGTAGTGACTCTATCACCTCCAGCAAGGACTGTGTAGTGACTCTATACCATCCAACAAGGCCTGTGTAGTGATGCTATCACCTCCAGCAAGGTCTGTGTAGTGACGCTATAACCTCCAGCAAGGTCTGTGTAGTGACTCTATACCCTCCAGCAAGGCCTGTGTAGTGACGCTATGACCTCCAGCAAGGTCTTTGTAGTGACTCTATAACCTCCAGCAAGGACTGTGTAGTGACTCTATAACCTCCAGCAAGGCCTGTGTAGTGACTCTATACCCTCCAGCAAGGTCTGTGTAGTGACTCTATAACCTCCAGCAAGGTCTGTGTAGTGACTTTATAACCTCCAGCAAGGTCTGTGTAGTGACGCTATGACCTCCAGCAAGGTCTGTGTAGTGACTCTGTAACCTCCAGCAAGGACTGTGTAGTGACTCTATACCCTCCAGCAAGGTCTGTGTAGTGACTCTGTAACCTCCAGCAAGGACTGTGTAGTGACTCTATACCCTCCAGCAAGGTCTGTGTAGTGACTCTGTAACCTCCAGCAAGGACTGTGTAGTGACTCTATACCCTCCAGCAAGGTCTGTGTAGTGACTCTATAACCTCCAGCAAGGACTGTGTAGTGACACTATGACCTCCAATAAGGTTTGTTGAGTGATGGTGTCTATGTGGTGTTGCAGGGACAGTGTGGTTGGCCAGGCTATTGTGAATCTGGGGGATGAGAATGAGGTTCAGACCACAGACTCCACACAACCGACTGTGCCCAACACAACAAACAGCACAGCATCGGGCACATCCCAGGACAATTACAACACTGATGTTGTGGAAACCGTCCTCACCTACACTCCAAGCAGCACTGACCCTGACACCATTGTTGTGTCACTGGCAGGCAAAACTGTAGACCTTGTCTCAAAGCAGACTTCACAGTCCAAGCCAAGGAGTTGGTTAAGCAAGACCCTAGCAGATTCACCCAAAACTCCAAGAAAAAGTAGAAAGGCTTCCAAATTATTTGAAAAGGGTCTTGGAGAAAACCTGAATGACTCAAAGGGGAGATCAGCTAAAAGAAGTAACAGTAACTCTCGAAGCAGGAAAGAGAAGTCAAGGGAGAGAAGCCTTGGTCACCCTACACAGAGCGCACTGGTGGGGAATGAGAAACGAAGGTCACCCAGGAAGAGGTTATTGGATAATGAAGGTAACCTTCCCTGTCTTCCTGGCAATGTTCTAAAGCTATGTATTCTCAATATGACTGTCACATGTCCAGGGAAATCTTGATGTGACCTCGTCATGCTATTCGATTTAAACCTAATTACCAGGGCCCTGTGTCTTGTAATGTACCAGATTGACATCAAACAATGCTGTAATCACTTCTGAAACAGGCCAAGGCAGACAGTAACAGTTACTTATAATCAGCATTAGCCGATGCCTTGTGTCAAGGATAATACATTTTTCAAGAGATATTTTGACAACATCACTGATAATAAATCTTTGTTCCCATTTTGGGGGGCTGTTGCTTGGCTGACCTTGAAGTAGTCTGAGTGATCTGCATGTCATCCTATTGTTAGTTTTCAGGTCACAATTCCTTGCTTGTCGGGATCATTTTGTGGATTTCCTATGATCATTGATGATCCTGGGTGTGTCAGTACCCTGGCCATCATCGCCATGCTATTTGCGAACATATGTGACTTTCCTCACACTTGAGGCTCACATGCCATGACACGACTGAAATAAGGTGCTTTTCATTCCCTCTCTCTCAACTCCACATTAAGCCTAAACTCACCATGCATCATGCATGTGTAGTGGCACGGAGAGGGTGAGGTGTATACATCCAGCAGTGTCCTGACCTCACCATTGTGTAGTGACACGGGTTAGAGAGGGTGAGGTGTATACAACTAGCAGTGTCCTGACCTCACCATTGGTTAGTGACATGCGTTAGAGAGGGTGAGGTGTATACAACCAGCAGTGTCCAGGGACCTCACCATTGTATAGTGACACGGGTTAGAGAGGGTGAGGTGTTTACAACCAGCAGTGTCCAGACCTCACCATTGTGTTGTGACACGGGTTAGAGAGGGTGAGGTGTTTACAACCAGCTGTGTCCTGACCTCACCATTGTGTAGTGACACGGGTTAGAGAGAGTGAGGTGTATACAACTAGCAGTGTCCTGACCTCACCATTGGTTAGTGACATGCGTTAGAGAGGTTGAGATGTATACAACCAGCAGTGTCCTCACCTCACCATTGATTAGTGACATGGGTTAGAGAGGTTGAGGTGTACATACATCCAGCAGTGTCCTGACCTCATCATTGTGTAGTGACACGGGTTAGAGAGGTTGAGGTGTATACAACCAGCAGTGTCCTGACCTCACCATTGGTTAGTGACACGGGTTAGAGAGGGTGAGGTGTATACAACTAGCAGTGTCCTGACCTCACCATTGGTTAGTGACATGCGTTAGAGAGGGTGAGGTGTATACAACTAGCAGTGTCCTGACCTCACCATTGTGTAGTGACACGGGTTAGAGAGGGTGAGATGTACATACATCCAGCAGTGTCCTGGACCTGTTAATATCATGACTCTACTGGCACTTATAGCAAGTCAAGTGGGGAGAGATGAGCTTATTCAGACATGCTCTTGTTCTCTAAAGGTGTAAGGTGTAAAGGAGCATGTAGCACACGTTGTAGTAGATGCTCCCAGAGCAGCAGTTCTGTATAGTGATTCTTTGTTACACAGTGTCTGAAGTTGCTTTGTTTCTTCCTCAGTATCTAAACAAAGTGATAAATCCAAGGAGAAGAAAGCTCCGCCGAAGAAGATCATGGTGGACAGCAATTATAAAGCAGCTGTAAAACGCAATAAAACAACAGCAAATTACAAAGACTTGATAGCTAAAACAGCAACGACAACCAGCACTGATGACACGCCACTTGATGACACTCCGCTTGATGACACCCCACTTGATGACATCCTGCTAGAGATGGAGTGTGTTGAGGAGGATGACAACGATGCATGCTTCTCACCCCCACCCTCACCACCTTCTGACTCTGACTCCGACTTCAATGCTCCGTCACATTCGGAACATACAGACAAAGGCACACTTTCAAGATCAGAGTGGAGCAAGCTGGTTGGTCATGATGACACTGCGACTCCATCCAGCTCAGGTCAAAGCAAGACAAACATCGATGGAGGCAATACCAGACCTTTAAGTGCTGAGGAAACAAAGTCAATATTCGGTGCAGAAAGTACCACGAGCTCCAGTTTTGAACAAATCAAGCCAATGGTGTTTGAAGTCAGTGCCCAACCTTCCAGCTCTGAGCCAAGCAAGCCAGTGATTGATAACGGTAGTGCCAGGCCTTCCAGTTCGGAGCCAAGCAAGCCAGTGATTGATAACAGTAGTGCCAGTCCATCCAACTCTGAGCCAAGCAAGCCAGTGATTGACAACGGTAGTGCAGGGCCTTCCAGTTCTGAGCCAAGCAAGACGGTGATGGATGCAGACAGTTCCAGGCCTGCAGACACTGAGCGAAGGAAGTCAACAGTGCAGGAGATAAAAGACGTCATGATGATGATGAACTCGTTCGTGTCGATGCAGCAGTCGCAGTTTGAAGATGAGATTGACCGAAGGGAGAGGATGCATTCAGACAGGATGATGGTGTTCAAGGGACTGGTGGATACACTCAAACTCTCCATGGACAAGGGAGAAACATGACCCTTTTGTAAAAAAGCTGCAAACTATCAAACTGGAAGTCAAACAAAACGGTTCACATTGGCACACTCTCAATGGAGATGTTCTGTCCGTGTTCAAGGAACAGGTGGATACTGTCTCTCTGCCTTATGTATGTGGCTGATATCCTCAACTCTGAGAGACATGAGAGACATTACAGCTACTGATGAACATGACAAATACTGTATTACTCCATGAGAGAGGGACATCATGAACATGTCCTTTAAGCAGAGGAAATTGTTTCTATCATAGTTACGAATCCTGGTATTCAGTCAAGGGCCCTGAAGTAACAGACATCGGCATACAGCACATCACATGACCGCCATAAATAGCTGAATTTCTAATGTCATGATGTGTTGTAATGGTGATTTTGTTTATTCATTTAGAGACGGCCGAAATGTGGAGCTGTGTTAAGTACCGGGGAATGGTGGACACACTTCCGAGAGAAACACGGGAAGTGATGTCGTCAGTTCTCCCCCCCTCACTGGACACGACATACCAAAAGTTCTGCTGAAAATGTTGGAAAGAACAGCTGAAATGATGACATTATTGGCATATCTCAAGTGCTTATATGTTGTTTCATTGTCTGAGGGGCAACAAATGCTGTGTCCAACTGCCAAATGACAACAACGTATTAAAAGTACAGAGACTCCATTTCAACGGAAGATCTGAATTTCGTTTGTTGGTTCTAGTTCCATGTGGAAGACTCATTGTTCAGAAAGAAGCAATTAATTAGCTGTGAAGCTGTCTTGTTTTACTATGCGACATCCACTGGTAGGTCGGTAGCACATTGCTACAATTCACTCCTTCATGGAACTCAACTATAATCTGATGCTGACTTTTCAACGGCCTTCAGAAACTCTGAGTGCGAATCAAGGAATGTTGTGCAAACATTTATGCCCCTTGTTTCCAAACTATTTATCTTTAAGTTTACAAGATATTATGATAAAAATATATATTTTCAGAAGTTATGAACCTGTAAACATAATCAGGATGTACGAGTAAAGTGTACTGCACCGGCGCTGGGTTAAATAAAATTGTAACAATGTCCGGGGCTGAAATCTTGCTTTTAAAAACTCATTTCTCTCGTAGGTATACATTTTGACAGGAAAGGTTTTGCTGTATTCAAAGGTAAATGGTTTGTGAATAAGGTGTACAAATATATCAACCTATTCTGTAACTTGCCCTCAGCTGGAGCTTGTGCAGGTCAGGGATATAACTTTAATAAGTATAAAGGGGGGGGCATGAATCATAGCCTTGTATTAATGACCTGAGGTGTTGGATAGTAAAACTAAAAGTACATAACTATGATTAGAAATTGTGTCAGTGAGGCAGGTATTATTTGAAAAAAACTCATGACAAGTGCAACCAAAATGCACACAATTGTTGTCTCGCTACATTGAGATGTGCATAGTGTGTTGCAAGGGGACTGATTAAGCAATTACTGTTGCCAAGCCTTGCCTGAAGTGCAACTTCCTCAAGTTGCTTTATGTGCTAATGTGATGCTTTGTGCTGTGTATAGTGGCTATTACTTACGCAGCTGTTTGGGTGGGTGGGTTTTATACATTTCGAAAATTCTTGACACTTGTTGATGTTTATTCAGTAATGCTGAACCTGGCCTTGTTGATAATACATTTTACGGACGCTATGACATTGCATATTAAAGGGAGATAACTCCTCCAGCCTCCAGCGTAAATTGACCCGTCTGTCATGCCACATTCACACGGATCCCAAAATATTATTTGTTGATGATATGACACACTTATATTATTATTATTTCATTATTTATATATTATATCATTGAAAAATATTATTTCGATTCTGATTCTGCTAGGCACGTCGTGTTCCCTCTAGGGGTGGCGCAAGGACATGGCTCGGCTCCCTCGCCATGAAGGGCCTTCACAAACAACATCTAAGTCCAGCTGTACTCATTCAGAATAAATCTATTTAACCAGTGAATCATATTAAATTAGAATCCTCATACACGCAGACCGCTCTCAGCATTGTGACAGGTACAGGGAATTACTAAACACTATGGATTCTAAAAGGTTGCTTTCCAAAATAAGTAATATCAAGTCATATGATTTGGCGTACTGTTTATGAGTGAAGCTACATATGTAAGAAATTCTAAATATATTCTATTCTATGTCCTGTACATATATAAATCTTCACGTAAGCCGTGTTAAATGGTTGTGAACATGATATTGTAACAGTATGTTTTCGAGAGAGTTGTATATCACCTTGAACAGTTTTGGGATTTTTGTTGTTGCCGACAAAGATCAAAATGTTGTTTTAGGACACATTAATATAACGACGTACATACAGTAGAAAAACCCAAGCACAATTTGTAGTTTGTGGATAGAAGTACAGTAGTAGCGGTATAAGACAGTGACGAGTCCAGTCGCGTAGTAGCTGCGGCCACGTGGACTGTACACACTCCAAATGCTGACTCCATGTGCACGCTGGTAAGTGGGGTGTTTCTGGGGGTGAGAGACCCCCTCTTCAACATCTGATGACATTTTGTATGCGCAAATCCTACCCCAACATAACGGGTTGATTTGGCTGTTAGAGTAAAATTATATATAATGGTATACATGTAGAGTTTGTAGGGAGAAGAACAATTAAACATGTCATCACTTTTCTACAAATCTCTATTTTCTAACTGTTAAATAATGTGTGCGATTTTTGACACGTTCTCCTTGTCTGAAAAGATTTGTCCTTGGGAGATAACCCCCATTCTAGATTTGCGCATTACCTTCATCACACGAAGCGTAGTAAAATGTTCGCATTGCCCCTGGCCTGCAGACTGGGAGAGGATTGCGTGTGGCACTCACACTCCGGGGTGGGGGCCTGTATTTCCATTTTACTTTGTAAAGGTTCAAATCCGGTTGCATGATAAAGGTAGTGGTGTATAATGGCAAGCCAGGACAGTCCTACATGCTCGCATGTGTAAACATTCTAATCCACAACTCTCCAGACCTTACATGCATAATAAATATGTGGTCTTATTAACAACAGTGAAACAACGTCAGTCCGACTACAGATGGGAACGTGTTTACAAAGCGACTTCACACCGCCACTTGTTAGGCGGGGCATGGATCAACCCGGGCGATCTTACTTGGAAATGACGGTACGGTCCGGTTTACGCGAAGTCAGTGTGTATTACCAGGAGTTGCTGGGTGATGCTTGGGGTAGCATTCTGGAAGTACGTAGTGTTAACTATAATGTGCATCGTCTATTTGAGAGACCATTTCCAACTGTTCCCCAAACTACGCCTGAATGATTATGTGCAACAACATGCAGAATCACAATAATATTTGTTCGTAGGTTTTTAGTCCAAATGATATGTCATCGGCACTTTAGATAAACAGCAATGTCATGTGTGTAGACAATGAATAGAGAGGTTGTTATCCATAAACAAATGTCACGTATTCATCAGCTCTCAAGCGCCGGAAGTGGAGAGACAATTCTGTGTAACGTTCCTCAGGGGTTTCTGATAGACCCAATTGCATTAAAATCCGATCTTAGTTCTCGCTACCGCTAAACAAAGATCTTTGTTTAGCGGTAGCGAGAACTAAGATCGGATTTTAATGAGATTGTAATAGACCCTATAGACACTGACCATTGTCATATTATTTAGATCATCGGCAATGTCATTGAGTAGACCAACTTGGTATTGCCCCAACTTGCGCTGTTTCTTATCGTTGTCCATGTACGTTAAGTGATGGCTCTGTTTGCAAGGACTCCGACATAGTGAAGAAAACGTAAGGAAAATGTCACTACAATACTAGCAATGATCATGATATCTGTACCCAGATCACAGGAGACAATAACATGTGCGAAACTTTCCAAGAAATTCAGATGGCAGCACTTAGCGCTAAGAACAGTAGGCGCAGACAACATTCCAGTTGAGGTTTATAGAAATTATATTTGTATTAATTATGTACATAGGCATGTCACGGCATGTTTTAACCCTGGATATAATCCAACGAGCTGGACCGGATAGATAGTAAACCCTAATCCCAAGTCGTCAACTGAAGACCGCAGATACCCGTAATCTTACAGAGGATTTCAACGGATCACATATTGCATCTATCACGTCTGCGGTGGAAACACGCAGATCTATGAAAACGTGTCTACATTTGCTGCATTTATTCCGCGATGCTTATTATTGTATAGACCGGCATCAGCTGTGGATCAAGTTACTGGAGGAAATAAAGAGGAACATGTTTAGCACCATCATTTCTATATGCATGATGTACACTGCTGCGTTCGTATAAATGGACGATCTAGGACCTGGTGTGCTGTGAATGGTGGAACGAGACAAGGATGTATGTGATTTCCCTTACTGTTGAACCTGTATAAAGATGACCTCGTCACTGCAGTCAACCAACCTTTTATTGGCGTCGTCATTGACAACAGGACAGTTGGCATTCTAACGTATGCGCATGATCTCCTACTAATGGGTGAATCTGAGTGTGATTTCAGTATTAAGTTAGATTGCCTTAATCCGTGGTGCCAAATTAACTCCATGACAATCAACAAAGCAAAATCTAAGATGATGCATTTTCGGCCAGTCTCAATGAGTAGGACTGAGTGTGCATTTGCTTGTGGCGCCGAAACTCTAGATGTGATTGTGAGGTACAACTATCTGGGACTTCTAAGACACGAGGGGGAGATTCTTTATTTATCATCCAAAACAAAAGCCGCTTTTGCATGATAAACTACAATCGCAAGGCTCGAGCACCAGCGAGTTCCGCCAGTCGAGCCATTGGATTATTAAAAGCCAAATACAGATTACTTGAGGATATGGAATATAATACATGTACAAAGCTGTACGTCTGGTTTGGTCTGTGGTCGAGTATGGAAATGATATACGAGGTACATCAACATGTCTCGTACAGAAGTGGTGCAGTGCCGTGTTTCTTGGGATTAAGGTAGTTTGCACGCAAGAATGCAGTATGTGGAAACTCGTATATACTCATCAATATATAATATAAATAGTGCAGTGTTATGCGGCACTATAACATTATGCGTATACGGAGCCTATGATGGCTACAACAGCATGTGTTTCAGTTGAGCTATCAATGGGCCATCAGAAGAAAATAATCTGACTTAAGAATTCACAAACAACTAGACAAGTTACAGCTTTCACACATCATACCCATCATACCCATTACCAACAGATATGGGAGCCGTCATGCTGTGTCTGAAACACAAGATTAATGTATAACAATATTATAAATAACTGGAGGAAAGAAGAGTTACAGACTGAAGTAAACGAGAGAATGGACGAAATAAACTGAGGCATCACTGTACCCTTAGGAAATATATGGGGCTGAACAATATGTCAGAAATTTTCCTCCCAGGAAGTCGATGAAGCGCTCTTGCAAAGTTCCGAGTGGTGTTGCCCCCATACGAGTGGAGACGGGTCGTTATGACAACACTCCTCTCTCTGATCGAGTTTGCTCTTCAAGTTCCTATGACCTTGAGGATGAAAAACACGTTCTATCGAATTATTACATGTACGAAGCTGAAAAATCAGAGCTTCTTTTCAGATACAATGAAGTGTATGGTAATTTTGGTAATTTTAACACGTATGTAATGTTGTAATTTTACTATCTGCCGGGACCGGGCGTGTCATTACCCCCTAAAGATCGAAAAAAAATTATGCAATAGATTTTAGTGTCAACCTCAGTATTTTGTACATGTTATTTAATTTATATTATACGTTTTGTTATAGTCTCTCATAACTCCGCATGGGGTGGCTCGTTATGTTTTTTCTGTATATAATTATTGAGTCGTTCATTTTAATTGAGTCATTACTTGGGTGTTTATTGAGTCTTGTATCTTAAACAGATCTAACGAGGTGAGACTTAAACTAACATTATATGTCAATACAAAAACAACGTGGTGAAATTTAGCAACCCGTCCAGCTTTGATCCCTTCCTTCTGTGCCACAGTTCATCAAGAACCTCAGACAAGTCACAAACCAGCATCCAAGTTATGGTTATTAATAATGTATACATATCAACCACGGTGAAGATTCCCTTAGTTTAATTGGTTGAAGGTTTTATAAGCACTTTTATTTCGTCACACCCAACGCCCTCGAAAATGAAACACAAAATCACATTGACAAGAATGTTTCGAATCTACACATTTTACAAATTCCCCAAACCAGCAGATAATATATTATTGATTAACGAAGTAATTCGATAACTGTTTCCGATTCCTTATCCTTCCATCTCAAGAGGACAAGCAAAGAACTTAATAGCTGTTACAGATATCGCAGACTGACCCAGGTCAAGCCATGTCCAGGCCACGGGAATGACCACCCTTATACATGGTCTTACCCCTCCGTAACTAGCGATCTGATATTTATCTCGACTTTGTCACAATTATGCGGACGTCTATCATTGGCTGCTATTATCTTGATGAAGCTGTCGTTGTTGTGATGTGTCACGGCCTGCCCCAGCCCACGGGGATGACCGGAGATTAAGTCCTTTCAGCACACGTTTTGTTACAAACAGAGGAACATTTTCATAATTAATTTGAACTTGTATCATGACTGCTCTTCCTGTGGCACGGTGATGGCAGATAGCGTGGGACCAGATGGAGATCACATGGCCCCTTTTATTGACCTTTGGCTAAGTGTCAAATAGTCATCTTACATTTATCTTTTCTACGAAACATACTGATGGAATTGAATAAGGGAGCACTTAGTTTTAGACACAGTAAAGTGATATGCTATCATGGGTTCCCAGCCTTGTCCACCAAATATGCGTTGGAAACAAAGCACTCAAACACAACTTAAAATTTGATTTTGACATATGTTGAATTTATATGCGCGCTATTACAAATGTACTGACAGTATTTTTCATTGTTCCCTTATTTGTTTCCATCGGTGTAGTAGGTGTATGACGGGAACTTAACAAACGTAAGGGGGCACGGATGGCCCA